AGTTTAGATTATTGTAATGCTTTATTGGGTGGTTGTTCTGCACCCTTAATAAACAAACTCCAGCTGGTCCAAAATGCAGCAGCTAGAGTTCTTACTAGAACCGGGAAGTATGATCATATTAGCTTGGTTCTGTCAACACTGCACTGGCTCCCTATTAAACATCGTATAGATTTTAAAATCTTGCTTACTGCTTATAAAGCCCTGAATGGTTTAGCACCTCTGTATTTGAATGAGCTCTTATTGCATTAAAGTCCTCCACGTCTGCTGCGTTCTCAAATCTCTGGCAATTTGATAATACCTAGAATATTAAAATCAACTGCGGGCGGCAGATCCTTTTCCTATTTAGTGCCCAAACTCTGGAATAATCTACCTAACATTATTCGGGAGGCAGACACACTCTGTCAGTTTAAATCTAGATTAAAAACCCATCTCTTTAACCTGGCTTAACACATAACACACTAACACATTTCTAATATTCAAATCCGTTAAAGGGTTAGTTCACCCCAAAATGAAAATTAGACTGCGTTTTACTCACCCCCGATGCATCCTAGGTGTATATGACTTTCTTCTTTCAGACAAATCTAGTCGGAATTATATAAAAAATTGTCTTTGATCTTTCAAGCTCTATCGTTGCACTCAGCGGGTGTTGCATTGCTTCTGTCAAAAAGACGTGAAATAAAAAGCACCTTTCCATAAAAAAAGTGTCTCACATGGCTCCAGGGGGAAAACAAAGGCCTCCTGTAGCGAATCGATGCGTTTTTGTAAGAAAAATATCCACATTCAAAACGTAATAATCACTTTAATCTAGCTTGCGCCAGCAGTTGTACATAGAAGCAGTTCCGGTAGCATGACGTATGAGTTCAGCGTTGCGCATGCGCCGGGGTGTCTCCTGAAAACCAACGTTTGTTTACAGGATCAAAAGAAGCAAAGTTTCCTTACTTTAGCAAAGGAAAACAAGTCTCCTCTTGGCTTATATCGAAATCCTTCTGACATTCTTCTTTACAAATGCTCGTTTTGTACTTCTAATTAGTGACCGTTATTTTTGTTTAAAAAATAAAGACTTACTGTCAGACTCTGTTCCGTGTTTTGTGTGTGTTTTGCTCCCCATGTGTTCCTTATGCCCATATGTGGTTCTTCCTTTTCCTGTTCCCATTATGTTCCACGATTAGTTCTTCATTTATTCCCAGCTGTGTTTAGTTAATTATCCTCATTCCCCTGTGTTTATAAGCCCCAGTCTGTTCAGTTTGGTTTTGTCGGGTCTACTTGTTGAATGTTAGTCAATTCCTGTGCTACGTGTGTGTTCCTTGGTGTTAAAATAAAGTTAATTATTTCTGGATTCCTTCCTTCTCCTCGCTCCGACACAGTAGCAGCAGCATTACAGAAGACCCGACCAAGGACAGTAAGCGGCACCCCCTCTCCCCGTGTTTGTTTTCCATTTCTTTCCCCCCAAGATCATAGAATTCGCCGCTCATTTCTCCGCCTTAGTCCGCCGAGATCTCCCCATCTTCGAGTACGCCTGGGAATTCTGTGGGCTTGCCGCGGCAACGGCATTGCATGACACCACCATCAATTCTCTGTTCTGGCTTGGGGCCAACTACCATCACCTATGGACCTCCCAGACATCAAGGGACTATGCTGGAGGGAAGGGATCTACTGGTGTCTGGGGAGTGTCCGGGCCCGAGCCAGAACCAGCCCGCCGGCTGTGGCTCTCTCCAGCCCACCGGCCGTTCCTCAGTCAAGCCCGCAGGCAGTGGCACTCTCCAGCCTGCCAGCCATTCCGAAGCCAAGCCCGCCAGTCACGGCATTCACAAGCCCGCCGGCCGTGGCTCTCTTCAGCCCGAACCTAAAGGGGAATCGAACGAGGAGAAGTCAGTCGCTCCAGCCCCAGAGCTCGCTCCAGTGAGGGCTCCTGTCCCCGAGTTTAGCCCACGGAGGGCTCCTGTCCCTGAGTTTAGCCCACGGTTCAAGCTCTATCGTTGCACTCAGCGGGTGTTGCATTGCTTCTGTCAAAAAGACGTGAAATAAAAAGCACCTTTCCATAAAAAAAGTGTCTCACATGGCTCCAGGGGGAAAACAAAGGCCTCCTGTAGCGAATCGATGCGTTTTTGTAAGAAAAATATCCACATTCAAAACGTAATAATCACTTTAATCTAGCTTGCGCCAGCAGTTGTACATAGAAGCAGTTCCGGTAGCATGACGTATGAGTTCAGCGTTGCGCATGCGCCGGGGTGTCTCCTGAAAACCAACGTTTGTTTACAGGATCAAAAGAAGCAAAGTTTCCTTACTTTAGCAAAGGAAAACAAGTCTCCTCTTGGCTTATATCGAAATCCTTCTGACATTCTTCTTTACAAATGCTCGTTTTGTACTTCTAATTAGTGACCGTTATTTTTGTTTAAAAAATAAAGACTTACTGTCAGACTCTGTTCCGTGTTTTGTGTGTGTTTTGCTCCCCATGTGTTCCTTATGCCCATATGTGGTTCTTCCTTTTCCTGTTCCCATTATGTTCCACGATTAGTTCTTCATTTATTCCCAGCTGTGTTTAGTTAATTATCCTCATTCCCCTGTGTTTATAAGCCCCAGTCTGTTCAGTTTGGTTTTGTCGGGTCTACTTGTTGAATGTTAGTCAATTCCTGTGCTACGTGTGTGTTCCTTGGTGTTAAAATAAAGTTAATTATTTCTGGATTCCTTCCTTCTCCTCGCTCCGACACAGTAGCAGCAGCATTACAGAAGACCCGACCAAGGACAGTAAGCGGCACCCCCTCTCCCCGTGTTTGTTTTCCATTTCTTTCCCCCCAAGATCATAGAATTCGCCGCTCATTTCTCCGCCTTAGTCCGCCGAGATCTCCCCATCTTCGAGTACGCCTGGGAATTCTGTGGGCTTGCCGCGGCAACGGCATTGCATGACACCACCATCAATTCTCTGTTCTGGCTTGGGGCCAACTACCATCACCCATGGACCTCCCAGACATCAAGGGACTATGCTGGAGGGAAGGGATCTACTGGTGTCTGGGGAGTGTCCGGGCCCGAGCCAGAACCAGCCCGCCGGCTGTGGCTCTCTCCAGCCCACCGGCCGTTCCTCAGTCAAGCCCGCAGGCAGTGGCACTCTCCAGCCTGCCAGCCATTCCGAAGCCAAGCCCGCCAGTCACGGCATTCACAAGCCCGCCGGCCGTGGCTCTCTTCAGCCCGAACCTAAAGGGGAATCGAACGAGGAGAAGTCAGTCGCTCCAGCCCCAGAGCTCGCTCCAGTGAGGGCTCCTGTCCCCGAGTTTAGCCCACGGAGGGCTCCTGTCCCTGAGTTTAGCCCACGGAGGGCTCCTGTCCCCGAGTTTAGCCCAGTGAGGGCTCCTGTCCCCCGAGTTTAGCCCAGTGAGGGCTCCAGTCTCCGAGTTTAGCCCAGTGAGGGCTCCTGTCCCCGACTTTACCCCAGTGAGGGCTCCAGTCCCCGAGTTTAGCCCAGTGAGGGCTCCTGTTCCCGAGTTTAGCCCAGTGAGGGCTCCAGTCCCCGAGTTTAGCCCAGAGAGGGCTTCAGTCCCCGAGTTTAGCCCAGAGAAGTCTCCAGTCCCCGAGTATAGCCCAGAAAGGGCTCCAGGAGGGCTCAAGGAGGGCTCCAGTCCCCAAGTCAAGCCCAGGGAAGGGCCACTGTTCCCGAGTTGGGCCTACGGAGGGCCTCTAAAGACGATATTCTCCCCAAGAATTTTGGGGGAGGGGGGTAGTATGGGTCCATCCGTAGTGGCCTGGCCGAGTGGCGAGGGCAAGGCCACGGAGTGCCACTGCCTGCGGGCTTGACTGAGGAACGGCCGGTGGGCTGGAGAGAGCCACAGCCGGCCATGGTGTCATGAGTTCCCAGCTGTAGTGGCCGGGCCGAGTGGCGAGGCCAAGGCTACGGAGGCCATCCAGCCATGGCCTTCTGAGTTCCCTGCTCCACCATGGCTTCCTAGTCTGCCTGCTCCTCCATGGCTTCCTAGTCTGCCTGCTCCGCCATGGCTTCCTAGTCTGCCTGATCCGTCATGGCTTCCTAGTCTGCCTGCTCCGCCATGGCTTCCTAGTCTGCCTGATCCAGCCATGGCTCCCTGAGCTGCCTGCTCCGCCATGGCACCCTGGACTGCCTGATCCGCCCACCCTCCCTGGTGGAATTGTTAATGCGCGGGATGCGCCTTCCGGGAGGGGGGAGTAATGTCAGACTCTGTTCCGTGTTTTGTGTGTGTTTTGCTCCCCATGTGTTCCTTATGCCCATATTTGGTTCTTTCTTTTCCTGTTCCTATTATGTTCCCTGATTAGTTCTTAATTTGTTACCAGCTGTGTTTAGTTAATTATCCTCATTCCCCTGTGTTTATAAGGCCCAGTCTGTTCAGTTTGGTTTTGTCGGGTTTACTTGTTGAATGTTCATCGATTTCTGTGCTACGTGTGTGTTCCTTGGTGTTAAAATAAAGTTAATTATTTCTGGATTCTGTCCGTCTCCTCGCTCTGACACGGTAGCAACAGCGTGACACTTACATAATTAATTAGACTTTAATCTACAGTATGTATCCATTTACTTAATTGTTTACTTATTTTATTTGGTTTTACTTGTCAGCTTAGTCCCAGAAACTGGCTCAGCAGTAATATGAAACTGTCTTTAATATCTGACTAAATAGTAGTTTATTGTGTGACACTTTAAATGATTTGAAAATGAAAAAGAAAAAGAATAGCACAATGGTCGCTGAACAACTACGCTAGTTCAATAACACAAATGGCAGTTTGCCCGTTAATGTGTCAAGATATTAGAGGGCTAGGTCTACTTTCAATAAAACTTGATCTGAGCACACTGGGACTTTTGTTTATGTAATAACCTTGTGGAGTTCAGCAGGAAGGGCTAAACTTGCTACCAAACAGTTTTTTTAGATCCACCCAGATGTATCCCTGCAGTGGACCTTTAGCACAATATCATTCATGCAGATGTTGCCCTGTATTGTAACTAAATGTAAGTTTTGTGGGAATTAAACACTTTAGAAATAACAAAAATGGACAGTATTAACACAGTAACTCAGATGAATGAGGATTCAAAACAGGAGAAAAGTGATGATGATCAGTCAACGTCAAGTTCACAGGTTGTTTGTGGAGGGTGTCGAAAGAAACTCCGGAGTTTGTTACCGATGAATTACAAAGAAGAAATTGTAGTGCAGGTGAAACTGGCTGGACCAGTGGTAAGTATGATTATAGATTTATTAAGGCTTTATGGTGTTAAACTTTGATTATATCCAATCAACTAACCAAATATTGAGATGAGTTTTCTTTCACTGTTGACTGACAATGACATTATTTCCAAATATTTGTTTTGTAAAGTATGAGGTTTCTAATTTTTAATGTAACTATTTAAATCAAACATTGACACTAAAATAAACTAAATAGCATAAATTGTGGTATGATATGAAATTCTGAATATTAATTTGATAATTTGTACCTTAAGTCACAAATTAAAAACTATATTCAGTTATATTTATAATAAATATTTAATTGTAATGACATTGGCAAATTTTTTAGTAGTCTATTTTATTTGAAGAACATGACATAACATGATCAGTATTCTGGAATACCATAAGTTTATTTCTCAAAAAGTGGAATTACTGTGGTTACTGAATACTGGAAATGTTTCCTCTCTTCATGCAGTTTATTTCTCAGCTGATGATCTTTCTGATCAGCTTCATCAGCACTGTGTTCTGTGGACACTTGGGGAAAACTGAACTGGCCGCTGTGGCACTGGCTATTGCTGTGAGTAAAAAAAAAAAAAAAAAAAAAACCTAATTATAGTGGCATTTATTAAAAGTCCTTTTAGGGGTAAAACAAAATTTCCTTTTTTGCTCACAGGTTATTAATGTGTCAGGCATCTCTGTTGGTTTTGGACTGGCGTCTGCTTGTGATACACTCATCTCTCAGGTCTGATAGTGAATGCACTATCTATGATTATGAATATGAGTGAATATGTCATTTGAATTGAATTGTGTCCTCCAGACGTTTGGCAGTAATAATCTGAAGCGGGTGGGTGTGATACTACAGAGAGGGATTCTCATCCTCCTGTTGGCCTGTTTCCCCTGCTGGGCGCTGCTCATTAACACCGAGCCCATCCTGCTGGCTGTCCGACAGAGCCCCAGTGTGGCCAGGTCTGATAAATTCAACACTCGCTAGATACACTTCAGACCAAAGTTCCTTACATTTACCCTTTATCGAAACTGACATTTATATGTATATATGTTTATGTGATATTTAGAAAAATTGATGGATGACCTTCAATTTTGTATTTATTAATTTTTAAAATTTTTAGCATTCTTAATTTTTTTAATTCAGCTTTACCATCACAGGAAAGTATTAAATTTTTAAATATATAAATAGGAAACAGTTATTTTAAATTCCAATAATACTTCATAAGATATATTTCATTTCATAAGCATAAGAGACGTCCTTCAAAACATAAAACAAAAAGTAGTATTTTAGCAAAACTTACTTGAATCTGCTCATAAAACAATAATCATAATATTTGTGGTGTGAATAGTAAATCATTGCTGTGCAACTATTTAATGCAAAAGGTTAGCACTATAGTTTTCAACTTTCTCACAGTTGCTTTCATTGTGGCTATTCAGCAGTTTTAAAAAATAAACAGTTAATTAATATAATTTGTGACCGTGGACCACAAAACCAGTCATAAGGGTCAATTTTTTGAAATCAAGATTTATACATAATCTGAAAGCTGAATAAATAAGCTTTCAGTTGATTTATGGTTTGTTAGGATAGGACAATATTTGGCCGAGATACAACTATTTGAAAATCTGGAATCTGAGAGTGCAAAAAAATCTAAATACTGAGAAAATCGCCTTTAAAGTTGTCCAAATGAAGTTCTTAGCAATGCATATTACAAATCAAAAATTAAGTTTTGATATATTTACGGTAGGAAATTTACTAAATATCTTCATGGAACATGATCTTTCCTTACAGTTTTTTTCAAATGCTAAGAAGCATTTACCAGTACTTAAAGTACTTTTTCTAAACTCTTAACACAGCAACACACCTACATCACACAATTAGCCAAATGGTTAATTTTCTGGCCAAAACCACATTGTGTTAAATAAATACAAACTCTACGTTTCAAAATGCTAAATGCCTTTTTCTACATTTACTAACTCTATCAAAACACAGCAAACCCGATTCAAAATCGAGTAATTTGGACAAAACTTTGGCACAGGTTTTCTATCCAATAGAAACATATAGTCAATCATAGTGCATAGACTGTCAAAATGATAACAATTAATCGCATTACAAAAACTGCATTACTTGTCATGTCTCAGTTCGACCTGTATAGAACATACAATATGAGATCCATTTAAAACAAAATTAAAAATAAATAAATAATAATAATTCAGTGAGCTGAACTCTACTTTTTTTGTGTGTGTGTAAATGTGTGGATTCATTTTAGATCGTATGTGCACAGCATAGTGAAGGAGTCATCAGTACTTTATGGAATGTAAAAGAAAAGTGACAGAATTGCTGCAGTAAAGGCTTTATTAGTAAAATGACATTTCTGCGCGTGAAAAAAAAAACATACAGCCCTTTGCCTTTTGCCCCCTACCTCTCCTTCTCCCTTGTCAGAAAGTCAGAAAGAGCTTTATTACCAAGTATTTTTACACACACACAAAGAATTTGACTTGACAACAGGAGCTTAAAGTGCAGAAGAAAGTATTGACATAGTGCAAACATCCATGACAGTGCAGACATACACAGGAATTATAACAGTAATAAGAAAAACAGAAAATGATAGTCTGTAGCGCAGACCAGAAGGCCACAGTACAAAGAGAGAATGGGCTGCACAGTAAAAAATGCAGTGTCAATTTAACACTTAAAGTGTCGATTTTAACACTACTAAAGATCATATATGGTCCCAATCTGTCTAGTGTTCAAAGTACACCGTTCGTAGTGTTGAATTTTTAGTGTTAATATAGCACCTTACAGTGTAGAAAAATTACACTCCGAGTGTAAAGTGTTACACTTGCTTTTGTTGTTTAAATTTTACACTATGTGGTATTTAACACCCCTGGTGTTGTTTTAATCCTTTAAGTGTTATTAATAAAGTACTCTTTTCAGTGCAAACTCAAAAATTCTATTGTATGGTGTTAATGTACAAGATTAGACATGAAATCAAGAGTCTTCAGACAGATGTGCAAATGGGCAAAGTGGCAACTTTAAAACATATATCAGATGTGTAGAGGTTAATTAGTCAGTCACATTCATTAAGTGTTGCACAGAAACATAAAATTGTTAATAAAACACAAAATTATCAAATTTACCTAGACATGAATAAATATGACAGGTAGATTTGACAGTTGTGTAGCATCCATGAATGATGTTCATCGTTGTCCCATCAGCGAGCAGGTATGGGTGTGTGGTCTCTTCAAGGTATTCTTCTTGTTAGTGCCTGCAGATCAAAGACAAAAATAACACTCAAGGTCAGCTCTCCAACTGATTTTATTTACATTAGTCTTTAATACACAACCCATCTGGCAATAGTTTGAGGCAGACAATAGGTAGTGACAGAAATGTCCAAATGTACCTTTTTGAAGATGTTTTCCAGCTTGATAGGAGGACATGTTTCCAGGTCTCTTGCAGCCTTGTGGTGATGGTGGAATCAAATGAAGAAGGAGACAAACTGATGCAATATCGCTGTCCCATTTTAAATAACAGATATGACAACTTCAGCAAAAAAATGCATGAACAGAATATAGATAAAGCATTAATATAGATAATCTTATTCTGAAATATAGTCTAACCTTAGACATTGGTTTCATCCTCCTTTACAGCTGATTCCGAGGTCAATTGGGTCCCTGAATGTCTTGGGAGAAGCCAGGAACTTGGCTTCTTGAAAAGAAAAAAACAATTAATGACAACAATATCTCTCTCAGGAACCATTCTGTTAAGTTGATTGTGTAGTCACACAGTGCCTCTGTTCACACCTGGCATTAGCACGCATCTTGGGTGACGCATATGGCCACATTCTTTTATTACAGGGTTAGTTCAAAAATGAAAATGTCATCAGTTTACTCAGCCAAGACTTTTGTTATCTTTGAAGCACAATTGAAGATATTAGAATATACGATTTATGTCCCTTGAATGACAGTCCACGCAACTATCACTTTGATACTTCATAAACTTCATAAAGAGATCTAATCCATAAAGAGAACTAATCTATAAGTGGTTTAGTCCAAATTTTTGGTTTTTCTGTTTATGTTCTCTGATCAATGTTTAAATGTGAAAAAAAAAATTCAATCTGTTCATTGTTAAGCGATCGAGTCTCTTCAGAAAATTTGGACTAAACTGCTCGATTCATTTGGATTAGTTTTACGATCTCTTTATGAACTTCTTGAAGTATCAAAGTGGTGGTTGTGTAGTTTGTCGATGGAAGAACATTCTTCATACTCTGTCTAAGTAGTTGTACTTTGTTTTAATCCTTACTTGGCGAATCAATCCCCTTTTATCTGGTATAGTTTCAATGACTTTACCCATTATCCAAGAGTTCCGAGGGGCAGTATCATTAACAACAAGTACAACATCTCCAATTTGAAAGTTCCTTTTCTTTACAAGCCATTTCTGCCGTTCCTGTAACTGAGGTAGATATTCTTTTATCCATCTCCTCCAAAACAGGTCGGCCATGTACTGTACTTGTCGCCATCTACGACGCACATATATGTCCTCCTTCTGAAATAAACCAGGGGGTAAAGATGGTTGAGTTTTCAGGAGTAGCAGATGGTTGGGTGTTAGAGCCTCTAGATCGTTGGGATCCATGGATGATCTGGTTATAGGACGACCATTGATAATTGACTCCACTTCGCACAAAAGCGTATGAAGACCCTCTTCATCTATACTCTGCCCTCTCAAGATTGAATTCATAATCTTCCTCACTGATCGAATCATCCTCTCCCAAACACCTCCGTGATGAGATGCTGTAGGAGGATTAAAAATCCATCTGATACCCTTCTGGATTAGAACATCACTGATCTTATTATGGTTCCAATTTTTTATGGCTTCTCTCAATTCTCGTTCAGCTCCAATAAAGTTGGTTCCATTATCTGAACGTAACTCTGATACTTGATCACGTCGTGCCATGAACCGTCGCAAAGCATGGATGAAGGAATCTGTATCTAATGATGCAACCACTTCGATATGTATGGCTCTTATTGACAAACAGGTAAAAATGACTCCATATCGCTTCACAGTACTTCGTCCACGTTTTTATCTCAAATGGGCCGAAACAATCAACTCCAACTCGAGTAAATGGCGGTTCGTCTGGTAATACTCTACTTGAAGGTAAATTCGCCATCTGCTGGCAACCTGCTGTTCCTTGAAGTCGTCTGCAAATGACACATCTGGACAAAATTCTCCGTATGGCTGAACTTGCTCCTGGTATCCAGTATCTTTGACGTAGTCTAGCCAACATGTAATTTCGTCAGCTGTGTCCGACTTCTTCATGAATATGCCTGATAAGTAGCTCAGAAATATGCAGATCCTTTGACAGTATTATTGGATGCTTTGATTCTTCAGGCATGACTGCATTATCCAGACGTCCATACATTCTTATTACACCTGCCTCAAGTATTGAATTGAGACAATACAGAGGACTGCTCTGCTTGACTTCTTCACCTCTCTGTAAAGATATAAATTCCTCTGGGAACTTCATCCTTTGGGAAAAGCGCACAATCTCCATTTCACTTTCGTCCAGCTCATCCACTGAAAGATAGCCTTTACCCATACTGGATTGTAGTTTACACATGTTTTCGTCAATGATAACCTTCAGTGGTTGATTAGATTCAGTACAATCGAGAGTTCTCTTCAATTGTTTTCTCCTTTTACTTAGATCTAGAAGAATTCTCTTCAGCCTTAGGATCCAGGCCACAGCCTTCCTCAGACGTGTCCATGATGAATAATGATTGATAAGCCGTGCTACAGCATCATCTCTCTCCTCAGTTTGAACCAGTAGTGTGTTAACCACAACTTCTTGCTTGATTTCTGGGTCTTGTACCAAACTCTTTTCCAAATCAATTGGGTTATTTGGCCACTCTTCCTGTGATCTAATAAGGAAGGGAGGGCCAAACTTCCACATCTGCTCCTTAAGTAAAAGATCTACCTTTAGCCCCCTTGAGGCA